TTTTTTACTGCAGCAGCATAAAAAATATTTAGGGCATAATAGCTGTTCCCCCTTCTGCATCATTAGTGGTTCCCTCTTTTTTGGCTTTCTGAATTCTTTATTTTTTTAATTTAATTACAATTTTTTTTTGCCACAGCAGCAAAAATATTTAGGTGTTTCTTCTGCATCACCAGTAAAAAATGTTTTCCATAACTGCTGTACCCCCTATTTTCAGAAGTATCGCACCCAAGCACCAAATTCCCATCCCACACTCTAAAATAAAAAGTTAAAAAAAATCCCCTAACAATATTTCTATCATGTCCGAAAGGCCAACAAAGAGAGGTAGATTCTCACAGCCAGCTAAAAGAGGACAAGTAGCCTCTGTGTCCACAGTGAAAAACAGTGGTTGTAGACATGATGCATCCTCTGCAGTCAGGGCATGCTTGCCCTTTTTTTCCCAGAGTCACAGCATGCATGGTGGTGGAGTGGATAACTAAGCCATTCTCATCCTCCTCATCCTCTGTCACCCAGTCTCATACTAGTTTGCCTTCCACCGCAGCTGCCAAATCAGCCTATTCCACAGGCTTCTTGCCCACAGCTACTCCTTCCGTAGCCCACCATCATGCACAGAGGAGCAGGATGAATTACTCAAACATAGTGACAGTCACATGCCGCTGGATGTACAGGATTTCAATGCTCTGATGTTGGTTCCCAGGTGCCAATGACAGACAAGACAGACAAGAAATTGTCAGTCATGTTTCCCCAGCTGCAGCACATTGCCAAGTTGGCTCCAGTGACAAGGAGGGAGGGGATGATGAGGTCACTGACTGTACTTGGGTGCCTGAGAGAACAGAGGAAGAAAGTGAGTAGGAGGCACAACTTCAACGAGGCAGCATGTCCTCCAGGGGCGGGTGTAAGGGCAGCCACCCTGCTGTGTCACACGACAGAGCTCCACAGGTGCAGGGCTTCCAAAAGATCATTGGTGTGGGCTTTTTTCAACACATATGCAGCAGACTGCAGCTTGATATTTGCAGGCTCTGACTGAAGCAGATCAATCGTGGCCAAAACACCAGCGGCATGGACGCTACATGCTTGACAAGACATATGATGACTTGCCATGTAGCTCGTTGGTAACAGCACTTGAAAGACCCACATCATAAAAAAGTGCAGACTACTCCTGGCTCCTCATCTGGGATCTCTACCCCTACTTTAACTCAATTCTTCTCAACAGCCTCCACTGAGAGAGATGATGGTATAGCAATGGGTGCCACAGGTCCTTGCACCAATCTGCTAGCTGTACACCACCTGTAGATTTCACCAGGTAAATTACGCTAGCCCAGTTGTTGAACCATGAAAAAAAATACTGTCCCACCCATCCACATGTGCACTGTCTAAATGCCAAATTGCTAGTGTTACAACTGCTGCCTTTCCATCTGAGGCACTCTGCCCCCTTCTGTGAATTTGTAAAATGTGCTGTACCAAAGTGGCAGGTTCAGAAAAAAGTGAAATGTAAAGGCATTCCAGCTCTGCACCATCATGTGGAAGGCAAAGTTTTGGCCTCATTAGATAGGGCAGACAGCAGCAAGGTCCACATTACTGCTGATGTGAGGTCCAGCAGGCATGGTCAGGGATGTTACATTTCCTTCATGGTGCACTGGGTAACTCTGCAGGAAGCTGGGAAGGATGTAGGACAGGGTTCAGTGCTGGAGTTTGTTCCACCACCATGCCTCTAAAAAGCTGGTAGTGATTCGGCCACATCTGTCTGCTGCACCCCCTCCTCTTCCTCTAAGGCCTCTTCTGCTGAATTGTCCTCTGAACCAGCAGTGCTCCGTAAGTGTTCAAGGGGCTACACAAGCAGTCAGGCTAAAAGATGCTATATGGTGCTTCAGCGGGCCTGTCTAGGGGACAGGAGCCACACAGGAACTGATTCTGTCAGCTCTGCAGAGGCAGGCTCAGAAGTGGTTGACTCTACGGCAGCTTGAACCAGGAATGGTTGTATGCGACAATGGCACCAACCTTCTCTCCACCCTCAGTCACGGACACTTGACACATGTTCCATGCTTAGCACACATCCTGAATTTGGTGGCGCACCCAGGTACCCAGGCTTACAAGATCTTCTGAGGCAGTCTGTTGCTATTTTTAGCGGTCATACGCAGCCAGTGTTCAGCTGGCTGACATTCAACGGGAATTTGACCTGCCCACCAACTGTCTCATTTGTGACATACCCACCATATGGAACTCAACATTAGCAATGCTGCAGTGGATGCACATCCAGCTGAGTGCCATCAATGAGTACCTGTGTGAGTACGGTACAAGGACAGGCTCAGGGGAGCTTGGCTTCTTTTCACCATGCCAGTGGCTGCTGATAAAGGATGAATGCACTGTCCTGTCACCATTTTAGGAGGCCCCAAGGATGGTGAGCCATGACAATGCATGCATCAGAGACACTACCTTCTAGTCTTCCTGCTGGAGCACACGCTGTGCGGCATGGACAGGGCACTTGAGGCAGAACAGCGTGAGGAAGAGGAGGACTTCCTTATCTCTCAAGACCCCCCAGGAGGAGGAGGAGGATTGTGGCAGCATGGAAGTAGAGGATAACTTATGGCAGTCTTCAAGGGATGGTTTTCAGTACCCAGAAGCCCCAGTAGTAGTACCTGGTTGGGAGGAGGTAGTTCCTGACAGTGTCATCCTCAGTGACCCAGAGGACTCAGAGTCTCATGCCTCCTCAAAATCACACTGCATAGGCTCCCTGATTCTGCAAAGTCTGCAAAAGGACCTGAGGATTCATGGTATCAAGGGGAGAGAGCACTACTGGTTGGTAACCCTTCTTGATCCACGTTACAGGAGTAAAGTTGCAGAGCTCATCCTGCCTACGCAGAGGGAGCAGTGGATGAAACATCTTGAGGACTCTGTGTAACACTTTGTGTAACACCTTCCAGACACTGTTCCAGACAGTTCCTGGACACCGTGCTTCTGAGGCTTTGTTCGATCAAAAGAAAAGTGGTGGAGAAGGTGGCCTGCTGACCAGCTGATGCCTCTAAATAATTCTTTAGTCCTCAGTGCCCAGGGCTGTTAGATTTAAGCACCCATCGTCAGCGTCTGCATCATATGGTGCAGGATTATCTAGGGGCAAGAGCAGGCTTGGAGACCTTTCTAAATGAGGATCCACTAGTCTACTGGGTCTTGAGGATGGATAACTGGCCAGAACTTGCTCAATAAGCAATCGAGCTACTGGTCTGTCCTGCATCCAACATGCTTTCTGAATGGACATTCAATGCTGCTGGAGGTTTTGTGACAGATATAAGAGTGAGTCTGACTCCGTTGACCTGCTGACATTTATCAAAATGAATCAGTCCTGGATCAACAACAGCTATTAAGCCCCTGATGCTGATGTAACTGATGAAATTTGTTAGGGATCTGGGATCCCTTGAAGACTGCCTATGTGCCTATCCTATTCCTGATTATGCAGCTTTCAGCAATGTTTTTGGTTTAAGGCACCACCAACATGCAAGTCCCAGTTTTTCTGCACCTGTTTGACAGGTACATGTAATTTCAATTTTTTACAATTGTTTTCTAATTTTTAACAGTTTTTAACAGCAGGGCCCATTTCTGCGCTCAGCAAGAGTAACTGTGAGGGGTTACAGTGTTCAAGCACCAGCAGTGCCCAAGGGCCAGTTTTTCTTCACCTGCTTGTCAGGTGCATCTAATTTAATTTTTTTTTCATTTTTAACAATGTTTAACAACAGGACCCATTCCTGCTCTCACGAAGAATATTTGTGAGGGGTTACTTTGTTCAGGCACCACCAACACCTACCCGCATGTGACAGGTGCATGTAATTTAAATATTTTTAAAAATGTTGCAAATGTTTAACAATTTTTAAAAACATTTTTTTTTTATTTTTTACAGCAGGGCCCATGCCTGTGCCCAGAAAGAATAACTGTGAGGGGTTACAGTGTTCAGGCACCACCAACACCCAAGGCCCAATTTTTCAGCACCTATGTGTCAGGTGCATATAATTTCAGTTTTTTAGAGCAGTGCCAAATCCTGCACTCATCAAGACCCATTTTTTCAACACACTGTTTGACAGGGGCATATAATTAGAATTTTAAGAGAAGGGTCCAATCCTGCACTCGTCAAGGATAACTCTGAAGGGTTACGGTGTGAAGACACCACCAATTGTTCGTCCACCAAACATCCCACAATGCATTGCACTATGACTCTGAGTCAGCATTATTGGGACAACGCTGGACACCATGACTGACAATGGATTACATCAATGGCACCATTTTTTTTAAATTAAAGAACTTGTCAAAAACTGTTGTTTTATTTTTTGTTCAATTAAAGGTATTTTTCAAAAGTCTGGCATCTTTATTTCTTCTAAATGTAACACTTTAGTAAATGAGTAGGTGTACAAGCACCCGTATTCAATCACAAGGGGGGGGGGGGGAAGCATCATAGTTCCCCCTTTTTTAAAGGGCTACCCTGATGCTAATGAGCCCCCCTGCCCGCAGACCCCCACAACCACCGGGCTAGGGTTGTGGGGAAGAGGCCCTTTTCCCCATCGGGGGAAAAGGAAAAAAAAATACTGTGGCGTCCCTCCTAGCCCTCCTACCAGACCTAAAGGGTCTGGTATGGACTGGGGGGGACCCAACGTTGTTTTTTTTTTTAAGAAAAATTTAATTTAAAAAAAAATAAATGTCAGTCCTGCCGCAGCAGGTTCTTTACATTGTACAGATTTTTTTTTTTTTACTTTAACCACCTCCTGCCTGCCATATAAGGTAATGAATAAGGTAATGATGTCCTTTCAGTGCGCACCAGTGTCGCCTATCAGTGCCCGTAAGTGCTGCCTATCAGTGTCTCCTAACAGTGCCAGTCGGTGCCACCTAACAGTGCCAGTTAGTGCCACCTAACAGTGCCAGTCAGTGCTGCCTATCAGTGCCACCTATCAGTGCCACCTATCAGTGACATATATGAGTGCTGCCTTTCAGTGCCCATCAGTGATGCCTGTCAATGCCATCAGTGCCTCCTACCAGTGCCTCCTCATCGGTGCCCATCAGTGCCACCTATCAGTGCCCATCACTGCAGCCTCATTAGCGCACATCAGTGAAGGAACAAAATCATTTATTTAAAAAATTTTATAACAAAAAAATAAGAAAAAAAGGTTTTTTTTTCAAAATTTTCAGTGGTTTTTGGTTTGTGTAGCAAAAAATAAAAACCCGGAGGTGATTAAATACTACCAAAAGAAAGCTCTATCTGTCTCAAAAAAATGATAAAAATTTCATATGGGTACAGTGTTGCATGACCGCTTAATTGTCATTCAAAGTGTGACAGCGCTGAAAGCTGAAAATTGGCCTGGGCAGGAAGGGGGTATAAGTGCCCTGTAGGTGAGTGGTTAAGCAATGAAAAATGCCCATTTAAAAACAGTACTTTTTAAAATTAATTTTATTCACTGATTCATGTCCCTCAGGGCAGTACCCGAGTCCTTATACCCCTTTTATTGCCAATAGCGTTCGACCAAACATGGGGGTGTTCGGCGGCCCATCATTGTCCTTGATCAGTGCCCCTGTGTCCCTAATCTCTGCCCCAGTATTTACAGTACATTACAAAACATGCAGCCAACCCCTGTCACCTATTCATGTGTGCACAAAAACACCCCCCATACACCATACCAATGTCCTGATCACCTCCATACCAGTGTCCTGATCACCGCCATACCCCAAACCAACACTCTGATCACCACCATACCAGCATCCTGATCACTGCCATACCATCATGCTGATAACCTCATATGCCATACCAGCATCCTGATCACCGCCATACCTCATAACAGCATCCTAATCTCCACCATACCCCATACCAACATCCTGATCTCCGCCATACTCCATACCAGCGTTCTGATCACTGCCATACCCCATACCAGCGTTCTGATCACCGCCAAACCCTATACCAGTATCATGATCACTGCCATACCCCATAGCAGTATCCTGATCAGGGGCGGACTGACAACTCATAGGGCCCCTGGGCAATAGGGGATCATGGGGCCCCTGTGTCCTTGCCCAAACTCAAAAAAGCCTATGAAAAATGTACCAGGGGCATCTCATGGGGCCCCCTACTGACCCCGGGCCCTCGAGCAGTGCCCGAGTTTCCAAATGGTCAGTCCACCCCTGATCCTGATCACCCAAATACCGCATACCAGCATCCTGACTACTGCCATACCAGCGTCTTGATCACCGCCATACCTCATGCTAACATCCTGATCACGGCCATACCCCATACCAGCATCTTGGTCACTGCCATACGCCATACCAGCTTCCAGCATATTAGGGTCTCAACTGATCAGTTTTCAAATATATATCCCATAGACTCTATAGCTTTCATACAGACTAAATATTATACACTGCTTTGGGTTATGTTTACCTAAAAAATGTAGCAGAATACATTTTGGCCTAAATTTATGAATAAAAATTATTTATTTGCAAAAACTAAGCAAAAATGTTTTTTAATAAAAAATGTAATTTGGGTATAATGTTGCATGACTGAGTAATTGTCGCTCAGAGTGTGAGTCTGAAAATTGGCCTGGACTGGAAAGGGGTGAAAGTGTCTGGACTTGAAGTGGCTAACAATCACAGCTAGGGCAAATATTGTGTGAGATGTTTCAGCTGGTAGTTTTAAGGTCTGTGCACATTTTGAAAAACAAATAATAAGCAGGAAGTCCTGGTTTCCAAAAATCAAAAATATCCATGTCTTCCCTGTGCACATGGGAGTTCAGCAATGAGATCCTTAACTCTCTTTTTTTGGTTGTCCAACCCATTTTCTAATAGACTTTGCAATTTCCCACCATTTGATTATCATTCTTCAATGTATCAGTCCACCATACTGCTTTTGCCATCACTTTGATACACCAAATACAGTATCGTAGGGACCATTTAGACCTTTCTAGTCTGGTCCCAGCAACGTTTTGCACTGGAGAGGTCTAAATGAGCCATAATGTGTATTTAAACCCTAAGAATGAACATATTTTATATGCGTCACTTTGGTCTGTTTAAACCATTGAAAGTGTTTTGCGAAATCTGTTCCAAAAATAGTGTCGCACTCCAAATGTAAGAAAATCTAAATAATAATTAAATACTTCTAAAAGTGCTTAATTAGTGATAAAATTAATACCCTTATTACTGTGCTTAATCCATAACATATACAAAATTATTATCAATATTAAACGTAGAATAAATGCAAATGGAATAAAAATATATACTAAAATTATATTCAGAAAAATATATACAAAAAAATAAATAGTGATTGTCCCAAAGTCAATTTGTGTAATCCAAAATGGTGTTCACTTCCTGTAATTTGCTCAACAGACCTTAATATTATTATGCGCTCACCTTAATGGAAGCCTAACATGCAATTAGGCAAAAATAGCTTCATGTCCTAGTAATGACAGGATATTTCAGCGTCTCTGCATTTGCAATTTTAAAGGATTATAGATGTAATGCAGAGCTTCATCCACCGAGGTTTCCTAGATGTTCTGATCCCTTAATATGGATAATATTTATAAAAAAAAAAAAATCTCAGAAAGTCTATTTAGCCCTCTTAGGCAGGCCATAGATTATACAACTTTCTTTCCTGCAACCACAGGCAGAATCGACACTACCCCGAGCACAAAAATGCTGTGTGTTGTCAGCCCACCATAAGAAATTAAGAGCTGAGTGCCTTTCTGGAAGATTAACAGTTTGTTTCTGTACTTGCAGAATCATTAAAGTGAAAAAATTTAAGGAAATATGCATTTATTGCAGAAATGTACTAAATATGTTTTTTTCTTGTTGTTGTTGCTTTGCCTTGATATGTGCTTTAGCCACATGCCGCCCAGCCACTGTAGAAACATGTTGGCAGGGCGGCACGGCTGGGCAAAACCACGTTTTAAAACGTGTGTTTTTCAAAACAGGTAGGGGGCGCGTGAGAGGCGCGCCACCAGCCTACCTGTCCCGCCGATCATGGCCACGGATGTCAGTCGCCAGGTCACAGCCGGTCATTAATGGCTGTGTCCTGGCAATTAGCGGCAATCACTGACAGAGAGCACAGCTGCAGTAGCTGTGCTTTCTGTCAGTTCCCTGACAGCTCCTGACACGCTGAGCCGGAGAGAAGAGTTTATCTCTCCCGATCAGCTGCCCCCCCCCTCCCGTGCAGTACACACCCCCGCCCCCTAGTAAAACACTCCCCTCACACAGTTAACCCTTTCACTGAATAAACTTAACCCCTTCCTCCCCAGTGCGTAAATTACAGTATCTATACCATAGTTTGTAGACGTTATAACTTTCACACAAAGCAATCAATATACACTTATTGGGATTTTTTTTTACCAAAAACATGGAGCAGAATACATTTTGGCTCAAATTTATAACTAACTTTGAGTTTACCATATATTTTTTATAGCTGAAATTAAAAAATATTGTTTTTCTTCAAAATTTTGGTCTTTTTTTGTTTATAGTGTGAAAAATAAAAAGCGCACAGGTGATCAAATACCACCGAAAGAAAGCTCTATTTGTGTGAAAAAAAAGCCGTAAAGTTTGTTTGGGTGCAGCATCGCATGACCGCGCAATTATCAGTTGAATTAGTGCAGTGCCGAGTAGCAAAAAGAGGCCTGGTCATTAAGGGGGGTAAATCCTCAGGAGGGCAAGTGGTTAATAAAGAGAATGTAATTTCTTGTAGCATTTCAGATCACTTCACTCTTTTGGGATTAAATTTGCATCCTGTGACAAAAGGATCCTGCAGGGCACTGGGCAAGCTAGTTTCAGGCCAGCTATTTAATATCATAGCACCCCTGGCACCCCACGTCCCTTGCACTATACACTATTTTGCCAAAAGTATAGGAATGCCTGTCTTTACACGCACATGAACTTTTATGGCATCCCAGTCTTAGTCCGTACAATTCCACATTGAGCTGGCCCACCCTTTGCAGCTATAACAGCTTCAACTCTTCTGGGAATGCTGTCCACAAGATTTAGGAGTAAGTCTATGGCGGGGGTCAGCAACCTGTAGATCACGATCTACCAGTGGATCATGGCCAGGTGACTGGTAGATCACGGTAATGGCTTGCTGACCCGCCATCCCAGAGCATCAAACAAAGTGCAATGCAGAAGGACTACTTCTAAAGTTTGAGCTGTAGTAAGGAGCAAGAGACACAACATGATGCCTCCTCTGAAGTGCTGGCTTCTGTCTCATGCTGAGTGATACCAACTGCACTCCACCTCTTATCCCAGCTAGTGGTCTCCAGAATGGTGCCAGCAACAGGAAAGAATAGATCTTCAGGTCAGCCTGAAGCAATATACTGGGCATAATAGTATAGGGCTGCTTTTACACTGATGCCCTGCAGTTTACCCACACCGTGGGTGCAGTGTACCTGCAACTTTTCTGTGGGTTTGCTGCGCTTACCTTTAGACTTCTATTATATCCAAGGAATTTCAGGAGTTTGGGTGCACTTTTAGAAAGTGCACCACACCTGCTGGATATAATAGAGGTGTATGGCAAAGCGCAGCTAACCATAGCATATAAGTGTGAAAGCATCCTTATATTGGGGCTTAGAACAGTAAGGGTTCATTTACATTTGCAATTTTTTTTGGGGGGTGGGAGGGGTGGTAAAACTCCATAGTTAAAACGTGCTTTTACTGCCCTTGCCCCAACCACAACCCCTTTAGCTGCAGTGGCCAGGGGAATACACATGTCACAGCTGTAGCAGGAGTTATATACCCTGTCATAGTTGGTGGGTGTAACACCTGCCAAGTATGACCCATTCAAGTGAATGAGGCCACTCTGCAAGTGCCCTGCAACCTTGTGCAATATATCAAACAAGGGGTTAAAGCAGGTTGCGTTGTGTTGCATTCTTACCACCTGCTGTAACCCTTTGGACCCCGAAGAAGCATGCAGTTGCAGAGAGCTTGCAGAATGGCCCCATTTACTTGAATGGGTTGCAACTGGCAGTAGGTAGCACCGACCAAAAGCAACGGGGGGTTTAATTCCTGCTGCAGCATGTGTACATCTTTGGTTGCTGCCTCAGCAGCTAAAGAACGTAGGGAATGGGGGTGGTAAAAGTGCAATAGCAGGG